TATGGGCTAAGGAAAAAAGTTACCGAACACTGCACTCGTGGGCTATTTGTTCATAGAGCCTTTCTTTGTACATCAATATCCTAGTGATAAAACTGGGTCTCAATGGTGCACTCTGGTTTGTACCATCCAGGTCTACTCTAGTAGCTGAAAGTATGCTAAAAGTCTCATCATCTTCAAAGAATTCCCCAGTGCATGCTCAGGTATCAGTGGTACCCCACACAGAGTAGGCATTTGGAACATATTTAGTTAACTATTTACCAAGAATTTTAAGTTTCAGCCCTGGCTGGTGTGGCTCAACTGGTTTGGGCATTGCCCTGAGCTGGTCAGGTTACTTGCCCTGCTAGGGGGCAAGCAGGAGGCAGCCAATTGATGTTTTACTCTCGCGTCGGTGTTTCTCTCTCTCTCTCTTCCTCCCTCTCCCTCTAAAAATAAATTTTTTTAAAAAGTATTTTAAGCCCTGGGCGGATTGGCTCAGCGGTTAGAGCGTCGGCCTGCGGTCCTGAGAGACCTGGGTTCGGTTCCCGCAAAGGGCACGTACCTCGGTTGCAGTTTGTCCCCGGCCCTGGTCGGTTGTGCGGGTGGCAACCACTCGATGTGTCTCTTCACATCGATGTTTCTCTCTCTCTGTTCCTCTCTCTCCCTCCCACTCTACCTGAACAAAAAAATGGAAAAATGTCCTCGGGTGAGGATTAAAAAAAAAAAAGTATTTTAAGCTTCACATTTTCTAGTGACTGATTCTCACCTAAAATGTTTGTCAGACTGGATGACAGTACAGTTGACCCTTGAACAATATGGTTTTGAACCATGTGTGTCTACTTGTATGTAGATTTTTTTCAATATATTGAAATTCTTTTGGAGATTTCCTCACTACCACGAAGAAGTCATATCATTACTACGTGACCATAAAGCAATTATATTGCTACTAATTTGTTATTCATACATGAATCGTTATACCTGGAAATAAATGATTTTTTTCATATCTTTTCATTTTTGATGTCTAAAGTTAGTAATAACATGTATCAACATATACAGTGTTTTGTATAAGACAATATAGATGTAGGTAATGATAGACAATTCATCTTAGAAACATGTGACATAAACTTATGGTACTGATACAGTACAGTTACTATAAATGTATTTTCTCTTCCTTATGATTTTCTTAACATTTTTCTTTTCTCTAGCTTAGAGAATACAGTGTAGCCCTGCCACTGTGGGTCAGTAGATTGAGTGTCATCCCATGGACTGAGAGGTCCTGGTTCGATTTCCAGTCAGGGCACATGCCCAGGGTTGCAGGCTCGATTCCCAGTAGGGGCTGTGCAGGAGGCAGCCAATAGATGCTTCCCTCACATCGATGTTTCTGTCTCTCCCTTTCTAAAAAATCAATAAAAACATTTTTTTAAAAAAGAATACAGTATATAATACATATAACATACAGAATATGTGTTAATCCACTGTTTATATTATTGTTAAGGCTTTTTAGTCAATAGTTGGCTATTAGTAGTTAAGTTTTTAGGGAGCCAAAAAATATACTTGGATTTTCAACCATGTGGGGGTCAGTGCCCCTAACCCCTGCTGCATACAAGGGTCAACTGTACTTCGGTATTATTTTGTTAAAGTTTATAAAAGAGAAGAGATCAAGGGAGATTTACCTCCATTTCTTTCTGTCAAGTACAGTTGTCCCTCGTTTATCATAGTTAATCCATCCCAGACTAGCAGTTGCACCTGGTGTTGAAGGATTATTCCTGGGGTGCTCGAATACATAGGCCTACAGTCCATACGTACAATAATTTTAATTGTTATACAGGGGTGTATAATGGACTCAGACAACCAAGCACAAGCTGTATTATTTTCACTGTTTTGATCAACTTTTTAATTAATATATTTGAAAATACCGTGATAGAGTGAAGCCGCAAAAGTTGAAGCGCGAAGTGGCGAGGGACGACTAGATGGCAAAGTGTGGAGTAGGAGGGGAGGTGCTGGATTGGGTATTTTAAAGAATGATGAAGGTATGGCCCTGGCTGGTTTTGCTCAGTGGTTAAAGTGTGGGCCTGTGGACCAGAGAGCCCCGGGTTTGGTTCCCGCTAAGGGCAAGTACTTTGGTTGCAGTTTGTCTCCAGCCCCAGTTGGGGTCTTGTGGGTGGCAACCACTCGATGTGTCTCTCTCACATCGATATTTCTCTCTCTCTCTCTTACTCCTTCTCTCCCTTGCACTCTATCTGAAGATAAATGCGAAAAAAATGTCCTCGGGTGAGGATAAAAAAAAAAAAAGAATGATGAAGGTATGAAGAACGTTTGTGGGTAATGGGAGGTCATAACAGAATAATTGCTAGACCACATTAAAGGCTCAGCTGAGGTTGGACACCATTCCTATGTAGTAGCAATAATCTGTAGTCTTGTATACTGTCTTTCTGAAGTTCTCTGTACCTAAGGTGTATGTCTAGAAAGGTTGAAGGTTGTTACACTGACCCAGTGTTTAGGTTTTGCTGAGTGGGTGTGATAAACAAGGTCAAGGATGTTGAGAATATTGGCAAGAGTGGTTTAAATGATGAGGCTTGTGGTCTGACAGGAAAGTAAGTGGAACTAAAAGGCCAGGGGGTTGGGGGGTGGGGTGGGTGCTGGGCGCTGTTCTGTATTTTATCTTTTATTTACAGATTTATTTCTGCTAAATATAGGCCATACAAGAACTAATGAAAATCCATGGACAAGATCCTGTTTCATTTCAAGATGTCAAGGTTACTTTTTTCATTAATTTACATAACACCAGATAACCATTTGTATTAAATGAAATTTTATATGAAAGCAACTTATGAATTATAAAGTATGAAACCAAATCAAGTATTTGCTCTTATTTGTTCCAATGATATTTAAGTCATTAGAAATTGAGACCACACTTCAACTAATGAGTTTTATAAGTTTGGTTTTAGCATTTTCACACTTGTGTTCTCATTGAAAGCATTCATTTATTTTGATTGAAAATTAAGAGCATCAATATGATCTGCATCCTTTGGCAAACTATTCTATTGTAAACTGAATTTTAACTTGGGAACTATTTTGGGTCAGGCCACATTTTTAGTCTGCTACTTCAAAGGGCTTGCTTGCTTTGGTATTATTTAAGGAGACATCAATCGTTTACTATGAAAACTACCACTGTCTGAAACACATGCTGCTGCTTAGCACTTTAGTATTGAGACTTTCCCTAGCTATGAAAAACAAGGAGTATCCAATATCAATTTAGGTTCAAGTTGAGTAATGCAATAAAATAACTCATTCCATTTTAACCAAGCATTAAGATAAAGGGCGATTTTGGTTTAATATGAGACAAATTTTAAACTATGCAATAGGCAAGTTAAGAACTAGTTAATTTTAAATGGCCACCAGCCCAGAAGAGGAAGTTTCCCAAATATAATAAGAGTAAAAGTTCATACATTCCATTTACCTGAATTGTTCTAAACTTTTGAAAATGTAATTGATGCCTCCTTTAATGATACTAAACAGAGTTACTTACTGCTAAAAGATTAGAAAACATGTACTAATTCCTTGTAAGTTTTTATATAGTACATTTCTTAATATAGAAAAGGTTCTTCCATCTATTCTAGTAAATTTTAGCACAATTTTAGTGTTATTTTGGATGACTAATTCTTTGATACCAACCCCTCATCCTCCCATCCTCATCCTAGGTCGACTGTAAAATGTTGACATCATTATTGTCAAAATCTTGTCATAATCTTGGCTCTGAAGCATTTGAGTTTGCACTCAAGGCTTTGATTCACCACCAATGAAAGTATAACTAGTTAACGTGTACTCAAAGAACACTGCATTAGACAGTTTAGCTATTAATTAGCTACATACCTTGTATTAGCTTAAACTCTGAGCCTCAATTTCTTCCTCTCTGAGTTATCACATACCTAAGGAATATTCCAGTAAAATTCTGTGATTGTACATCTGTTGAATGGAAAAGAAAAAATGGCAACAAAAATTTTACGTAAACTTAAATACTAAATTTTAGGTCTTTTTGATAAAAATTGAGTGAATCATATATCAGATTTCACAGTCTTTTTCTCTCTTGTAGGATGAAATCTTTGACATGGTAAAACCAAAGGATCCTTTGAAAATTTCTCTTCAGGATTTAATCAACAGTAATCAAGGAGACACAGTCACCACCATTCTAATTGATCTGAATGGCTTCTGGACTTATGAGAACAGAGAAGCCCTTGTTGCAAATGACAATGAAAACTCTGCAGACCTTGATGATACATGATCTCAAAGACTAGACTGTATTAATTAACATAAGTTTGAATGCTGCATGTAAAACCTTGGAAGCAGATTCCTTAAAAATTGTCTAAATAAAACACTTCACATGCCTATAGAACACAGCAAATGTTCTCATTATTGGGAATTAACAGTTTGGAGGCAATAGGACCAAATTAGAAGCAATAAATTGTTTCCACTTGGCTCAAATATGACAAGTGTGATTTGGTGAAGGTAGGAGTTTACTTTAAATCTGTAATATTTAGGAATAAAGGAAGTTTTCATGAACTATTTCTGACTTTAATCATTAAGAATTTGAATATTTGAAGGATAGTGTACATTATAATGTGGTCATTTAACCTTGAATATTCTGAATTATTATGTATATCAAGATTACAGGCTTCCCCATTCATTTCTGGGTTAGAAGTATTTAGATATGATGTTTCTTTTAATAGGATGTTTCAGTTAAAGTATTCAAGTTAATATTTTGTTTTAATTAAAATCATTGGTATAAAAAATTTGTCTAGCTTTATTAACCGATATCAGGGTTACATTTTATAAAACTTAACTTCAGTTAGGTAAGGATTGTTGTTAGAGAATTTAATTCACTGTAAAGGTTCTCAATTACATTATGTGTAGTTTAGAAGAGGAAAGAATCATGAACTATGATCCAGAGGGAACAGTAAATATTAATAGGGTAGAAAGGAAGAAAAACTGAAAGAGACTTAAAAATAAGACAGAACCATTTAATGCATTCATGGGAAATTTTATAATTTGCATAAATAAAAATATAAAATTTTAAGGCACAGTGTATAACTATATAACAATACAAACTGGCCACTCTTGGACAAATAAAGTAAAATTCAAGAAACGTCAAACCTTCATAAGTCATCATCTTCCTTTTACTGTAATCAGAAAAGGTTTTAGTTTTCTTTTAGATATAGCATCTCTAGGGAGAGAAGATTCATATCACCTTTAGATATGCATGCCTTCACTGGATAACTATCTGAGTTGGAGGTACTATTTCGAAGTTAAAAAATTGAAGGAAAATGTCAGGTTAGCATGTTTTAGAGCTACTGGTAAACTATAACTTACAATGACATTAATTACATAATCTTATGATTATTCCTTTAAGCACTAAATTATATAGTTTACACTCATGACTAAAAAGATATCTAGCATATGCCATGAACCATCACACCATGAGCCCATGTAACCAAAGATTCTTAATTATCTTTCACAAATCCTTCAAATTTCAGTTAAAAAACAAACTAGTTGTTAGATGTTCATTGACAACAAAGTTCCATAATAGGCCCATTGTATGTTGCAAGTTTCTCTGTATTTTATATAGATCATTTAAGATTGACAGCTTAATGCTGTTTTGATGGCTATTAATAACCATTAATTTCTAAAAGCTCTTTAAGTTTGTGAATAGGCTTTTAAGAGCAGCACTGTCTGAAATATGCCCCATTTTTCCTTACTCATATTTAGTTATAAATCAAAGTCATACAGATATCTCAAGATTCTGAACACACATTTAGGAATATTTTCAAAATTAAGTTTCATACCATATTTTGTAAATAGCACACTGGGCAGAGAGATGGCCAGTCTGGGTCAGATAAACTGCCACTTTGTTATTACTCTGAAGTGGTGAATGACAAGTACCTTCATTATGCTATCATTGCACCTTGTTCAATATTTAACAGTGAGCCTCTGAAGGGTTAAGTCTTCATTGGTTCCCCCAATCCCACCCCCTTCTCTGCAACTAACTGGCTTATAGGAGGCACTCAGCTGAATGAGTGACATAACCAGGATGCCAAGTGGATAATCAGTAGGTGTAATACCACTTGAAAACAACTACATTCAATAACTAGTATTTTTAACATTATTTTCAATGCTAGTTATTAATGTGTATAAACTACTGGAAAGAGAATATAAGATTAAGTAATCTGTATTAAAAAAATGGAAACCCACCTTAATATTTGGTGTTATAAACTCAATCTCTTTTCCATAAAATAAAGTTATTCTCAAGGAAAGAAAATTCAAAGTGCTTTTATCTTGCTCCTTTTATTACTCAGTAAACCATCTTTAGTATGAAATTAATTGTTAGATGTGTAAATAAGACATAACATAAAAAAATCTAGGGGAAAAATATCCTCATTTTCACCTGAGATTAGGAATATTAGCTTCAATTAGCCTTAATCAGCAACTTAACCTATTTTTTCTGTACAAACACAAATAACAGACAAGCATGATAATTTAACTCTTCTTCATTGGCAGTTAAGGCTCTAAAATGTCCTTAACTTTTTTATAAAGATCATTTTAAAATCAAAGCACTAATATGGCACACAATAAAATCATAGTATAAATATCCAAATTTCAGATCCTACTTTTACTAGACAGAGCCTAAGAATAAAACATTTTCCCCTTTTCAGATAATAATTTAAAATACAAATAACTGTATTAAGTCCCACTGAACAGAGAATGTGAAAGTTCCTGGTGTAAAAACCACCTCAGAGTTTGAAGTTTGAGAGTCATTGCATTCTATGGTGGGACAGAGACTGGATTTTGTTTACTTTCTGTAATTACTTCACAATCTCCCTCCATTTCAAAATTGAGATTCACAAATGAACTGGATACCACTGTTTCCGGTTGATCTGTTTGAACAATGGAATCAGCCTGCAGTTTATTCTGTTGGTATTGTCTTTCTGCTTCTTCAGACATCCTGTTTTCTTCTTCTTCTTCTTCTTCCTAAAAAGAGGAAACATCAAGAATCACTGAATTATAAATGTCCAAAAGCAATAGTATTTCCCCCCAACTTTTAGCTGCTTATGTTTTAGGTTTTTTCTTTGTTAACCAAACCAGTATCATATCCAATTCACTTTGGTCTAATTAAGATAAGACATACTTCCCTTTCCCCTGTTCCCAAATTGAAATGAACACTATTACATGACATTTAAGAAAAGTGGCATTATTTTTAAAACATGGAACAGCACTGCTTAGTTTAGATGAGACCTAAACTAACTTTGACATTTAGATTAATTTTAGATTAATTCTAATCTAAAAATTTAGCAAATGCTATATCACTTCAATTATAGGCTATTAGCGTGTTCATTGGAATAGGGTGGTCTATTCACTAAATGCTATAGCATGGATAATGTTTCCATAAGCACCTGGTATACAGATAAGGCAGTCTGCCCTTTAAAAAGTTTAAAAATCTAGGAGGGACTTGTAAAAAAGTTTACAATCTAGGAGGAAAGTTAAGACATGTAAAAATAGCATTAAGACAGGAATAAGCACTAGGGAGATTTAGAAAGAGTGACTTCTAGTTTCAGAACTACTAAATTCATAGGGAAGGTGGCATGTGAATTGGTCCTTTCAGTGTGGGTAGGTGGTACAGAATGACTAACCTGTCAGGAAGAGTAATCTAGAACTTGCTTGAGAATGAATCAGAAAGGCCATTTAGAGAGGCTATTATAGTATTTCCTATGAGGTAATGAGGCTCTAAACAAGGCTGGCTGTGTTAAAAACACTCATTCATCAAACATTTTTGAAACCACATAAAGTCAGCTGAGGTTTCCAGATTCATCTCCAGCCACTTCCATTGCACTCTATTGCTCCAGTGGCAATAAAGTAGTATTTCTGCCATTGCCCCAAACATGCAATGCATCTTCATTCCTTTACATTCTAGGTTTACCTAAATTGCCCTCAAGTGCTTGAAGGAGAATAATGAAAGATACTAATATTTCATGTTCACCAATATATTCTAGGTGCTGTTCTATTTTACATATTAACTCATTTAATCCTTAGAGCAACCCTGAACATGGATGTTGCAATTTTCACTATAAAGATGAGTAAACTGAGGCTTACAGAGGTTAAGTACTTTGCCCAAGGTTACAAAATTAGAAGTGGCAGACTCAGAATGTGAATTCAGACCCTTTGGTTCTTGGGCCCATGCTTTTAAGTGCTAAAGCTTTCTCATTGTTTAAGGCTAAACTCATTTCACCCCCACACTAAGACCTCACTACAGACAGAATTGCCCCACATCTTTGTGCCTTAACAACTGGCACTTACACATTTCTAATACTTGTAATTTTCTGTGCATCAAACCCACTCCAATTCTCCTACATCTAGTTTATGCATCCTAAGCACAGAGACTGGGTCTTGGACTAATAATCCAGAGAGAGGTGTGTGAAGATTAATAATATATACATAGCACCTAGTACAGTGAAATCTCGCTTAGTTTTACAAATAGAACCTAGGAAAATTACAGTATTAAAATTCTAAAATGTATGCTAATTTGATAAAGAAACTGACTCTAAAATGAAATGCCTAGTATAAGGGAGCTATTTTTTTTGGCACCTAGAGAATACATGTATGTGTTCATTACACAACCCATCAATCCACAGAAAACCAAAGTGAATCAAGAAAATGTAAAAAGGAGACACACCTCCTTCTTCATCCGGTAATATTCATCAATGGCATATTGGTATTTTGGGGTGCTGATGCCCAAAACAGATGCAATCTTCTCACCAAGAAAGTCACACACTAAAGATACAAAAAAGTTAAATGGCTTACACAATTCCATAAACATTTCTTTTTTAAAAAATTATTTTTCATAAACATTTCTTGAGCACTTTCTATGTGCAAAGCATGTAGAAATACAAAAGTTATAGGCTCTGTGTTCAGGGAGATTATAAACATTCAGTATCTCTTCTGCATATAATTCCTTGATTTCCCCAAGAAGCACTTATGGCTCCTTATGGGTTCCTGATAACACTCTCAGTAACACTTATCCCAGTATTGTAATTATTTGTTACATGTCTATTTTCTTTTTAAAAAATGTATACTCTTAGGGAGCTGGGATGCCACTGGGCTGGAGGAGAGAAATGGCTTGTACCACACATTCACTGGGTGCCTGCCACATGCCACAAGACTTGGAGAGGTTGAAGAATTTGCCAAGCTAAAACTGCTAATCCAAAATTCAATCCAGGTCTAAATGCAAAGCTCATGTTCTTTTCATTTCACCAGACTGTCTAGCATATACTGAGTGCTCAGTAAATGTTTGTTGAATGAATTACTATTCAAAATTAGATCTAATAAAAAGCAGAAAATGATAGAAGCTATAAAGGAGTTAAAATTGGAAGCAGGGGAAAGCTTTATGATTTAAAACCTATATTTAAAGTTAGCATGATTAAGCATGATTTCCTTCAAATATGACTTAGTTATATCTCAATTTAAGAAATAGCCCTGGCCAGTTTGGCTCGGTGGTAGAGTGTCGGCCTGCGGTCCAGAGAGACCCGGGTTCGGTTCCCACTAAGGGCACATACCTCAGTTTCAGTTTGTTCACGGCCCCGATTGGGGTCATGTGGGTGGCAACCACTCGATGTGTCTCTCTCACATCGATGTTTCTCTCTCTCTCCCTCCCTCCCCACTCTATCTGAACAAAAAATGGAAAAAAATGTCCTCGAGTGAGGATAAAAAAAAAAAGAAAGAAAGAAAATATTGCCCTGGTCCGGTAGTCAACTGGTTAGAGCATCATCCAGATCCGACAAGGTTTTGGGTTTGATACCCGGTCAGGGCACATACAAGAATTGACCAATGGATAAATAAGTGGAACATAAATAAGTGGAACAACAAATCGAGTTCTCTCTCTCTCTAAAATCAATAAAAAAATATATTAATGAAATAAAATAAATGAATTATAACTACAGGCTTTAGGGAACCAAACGAAAAAATAACAAAACAGTTTCTAACAGAAAAGGATCAAATGACAAAATAACAAAATAGATGTTAACAAAAAAATATCAAGAATATGAAAATTGTATCTAAATTAATATAGCCATTTTCAATCCTTTAAAAAATACACACACATACACATAACCAGAAGCTGAAGAATGTTTTAAGGTGAAATACAAGTGAGAGTAATACTTTTCAATGCTAGCTATCTTGGGAGTAATCAACTCCCTATTGTTTCTCCTTCATTTCTGAAACACTGCTTTTTGGCAAAGCTCCTGGAGCTTATTACAATAGTTATATAATATTCAAATAGAAAAGTAATACCTGAGAGGGTTGATGTGGCAGCACGAAGCATGTAAAACCATAAGTAAGGGCCCCAGGTAAGTTTTGTCTGCAACAAAAAGTTGGGTTAGCAACATTCACACCTAAACTCATTCTATTTATTTAGGTCACAATGAAGTAATCAATACTTGGTGAGCACATGGAGTACTCTATAGACAGTACTGCAGATAAACTACACTCCAATAAAAAATGTAAAACCTTTATAGCTAGAACTCCACAAAGACATTTTAAACTCATCCATGTAACTATCAACACCTCAATCCCATGTAATAATCAAAAAAAAGCAGCAGCCACTGAAATGGAGTTGGTAAGTCATAGTCTTGATTATTTAAGAGTTGACATTTCACAGCCTTCCTTTTCCTGTTATGCTGCTTTTTGTCTTCATTGTTCACCAGCACATCAGAGAAAGTGTGCAGTCAATGGAAAGGGGCCGAGAGAAATCATACAGAACAACACGCTTATGGTATAGTGGGGAAATTAAGGTTCAAAGAAATTAAGAAATCATAACAAATACACTTTAATAGTGGGAAAATAAGTAACCACCAAGTGACAAGATGAGTTTTTTATTTCTTTACACCATAGCTCAGTGTATACTTCATAGGCCAGGACCACTGGGAGAATGCAATCTCCACTGCACACCTTTCATAGGTGATTTTGGTGCTATAAATCCACAGACTACTTTTGGGAAGCTTACCACATAGATGGTAGTTTGCATCTGTGGATGAAATTGGTAATATAAGCATGCTCCATTGTACCAATATTTTTGTTCATCAAAAGAAAACATAATATAGAGCCTGCAACCAATCAAACACATTAATTGTTTTGATAGTGGTCCCAGGGAGGGGAGAAAAGATAAACTTATCCATAATCTTCTTAGCTAAGTAAGATATGTTAATGATTATAAGGGCAATAAAAAAGCAAGTACAGAATATTTGTAAGACTGAAACTGTGGACACTGGAAACTAATTCTTTCTTCTTTGTTGGTGAAATGGAAGTATCTCCCTCTTCTGATATCTAAAGCTGATATGGTTGTCAATTTTAATGTTATTTCCTTTTCTTCATGGTTAAGAGAGGGAAATTAAAAATATATTTTTTAATTTTCCAATTACAGTTGACATTCAATATTATTATTATTTTAAATAATAGCTTATTGAATTTTAGAGAGAGAGGAAGGGAGAGAGAGAAGCATTGATGTGAGAGCACAACATCCATCGGCTGCCTTCTGCACACCCCCTACCAAGCATTGAGCCCACAACCCAGGGCATGTGCCCTTAACCAGGAATCGAACAGGCAACCAACCAGTCAGAGCAACATTCAATATTATTTTATATTAGTTTCTGCTGTACAGAATAGTGGTTAGACAGTTATATAATTGACAAAGATAATTCTAATACCCACCTGGCACTATACTTCGTTATTACACTATTATCGACTATATTCCCCATGTACTTTACATCCCCGTGACTATTTTGTAACTATCAATTTATACTTCTTAATCTCTTCACCCTTTTTCACCTGGCCCCACAACTGCCCTCCCACCTGGCAACCCAGTTTGTTCTCTGTATCTATCAGCCTATTTCTGTTTGGTTTGTTCATTTATTTTGTTTTTAAATTCCACATATAACTAAAAGCATATGGTATTTGTCTTTCTCTGTATGACTTATTTCACTAACATAATATTCTCTAAATCCATCCATGTTGTTGCAAATGGTAAGATTTCATTCTTTTTTATGGCCAAGTTATATTCCATTGTATATATGTACCAAATCTTATTTATCCAATTGGTTTTTGCACAGCAAAGGAAACCATCAAAAAAATAAAATAAAAAGACAACTTACTGAATGGGAGAAGATATTTGCCAATGATAGATCTGGCTAAGGGACTGATTATCCAAAATTAATAAAGAACTTATACAACCAACACCAATAAAACAAACAATCCAATTAACTAATGGGCAGAGGACCTAAACAGACATTTCTCCAAAGAAGACATACAAATGGTAAATGGACATATGAAAAGATGCTCAATGTCACTAATTTAAAAAATGCAAATTAAACCCACGTGAGAGGAAATTTTTTTTCCTGAGGGTTTTCAAAGTCATTTTGAGTGACCACTGACTGTCTTATCAACTTCTTTTTATTCAAGTTTAAAAAAATAAAGTTGTATCTTATATGTGTGTGTATAAAGAATATCTGTAAGACTGGGAAAGATGGGCTAAAGTAAAGCAGAGAGCAGGAAACATATAACACAGTCTTCCCATGAAAAGTAGGTATGCCAATTGCTGTGATAATATTCCTGAAAAAACACACAAGTAAGGTAGTTCCTTAGTCTTTATTTACCAAAGAATGAATGTCCCCACAAATAAATTCAAATAAGAACATACTGTATATTTCTGATTCCCTAATCAAATCTGCCTTATATTTAGAGTGGGAGTTGTCTTTTATGTTGGGATAAGAGCTGTGTGAGGAGCTACTGTTTAAGATAATCTGACCGTGGTATTTACCTTATGATTTTTACAGCAAATGGACAGTGCAGAAAGACAGGGAATGGAACCAGTTCTTAACACATGGATAGGGCCAAGAAAGTACAAAAAGTATTTAAAAAGGACCAAACATAGAAAAGGATTAAACATGCTTTTGGAGGAAAGCATATATTTCTATATGCTGGGGTTGTTTCTAGAGAGAATAATTGCTAATATCCAGCTGTGACTACCAAAGAGTCAAACTTGTTTCAGAGCTGAGGAAATAGATAAGGATTCCTGAGTAACATCTACAATTATCACACAGAGGAATTTATAGGGTCCTTTGTTGAGACACCGACCTTACTTAATTAAAAGAACAGGTGGCTCAAGAGCCTACACTAGAACCCTATGACAGCTGCCAGCATCACTAGCACTACCACCATCCCTACCACTACCACCATCCCAGTAATAGGAGAACTAGTACAGGATCTTGGGTCTTTAATTATGGTGCAAAATCAAGTTGATTCATTTTTTTCATTTCCAAAATTTTAAGTATCCATTTCTTCCTGAATAATTAAGTATCCATCTCTTCCTTAATAGGGTACAATGTAGACTTGTTATCTTTTACTTTTATTTTTAAACAGCTTATTTTTAAATTATGAAAGTAATAGAGGAACTAAATAAGCACCTCTCCCAAACAGGACATACAAATGGCCAAGAGACATATGAAGAAATGCTCAACATCACTAATCATCAGAGATGCAAATTAAAACAACAATGAGGTATCACCTCACACCTGTCAGAATGGCCGCCATCAACAAATCATCAAACAAGTGTTGGCGAGGGTGTGGAGAAAAGGGGACTCTGGTACACTGCTGGTGGGAATGTAGACTGGTATTGCCACTATGGAAAACAGTATGGTGTTTCCTCAAAAAATTAAAAATAGAACTACCATTTGACCCAGTGATCCCACTTCTAGGAATATACCCTCAGAAGCCTGAAACACCAATCAGAAAGAATATATGTACCCCCATGTTTGTAGCAGCACTATTTACAATAGCTAAGATCTGGAAACAGCCCAAATGTCCATCAGTAGACGAGTGATACACAATGGAGTACTATGCAGCTGTAAGAAAGAAAGATCTCTTATTCTTTGAGACGACATGGAGGGACCTGGAAAGTATCATCCTAAACGAAACAAGTTAAACAGAGAAAGACAAGTATCACATGATCTCACTTATTGGTGGAATATAATGAACATAACAGTCTGAGGAATGGGGTAGTCCCAGAGATGTGGAAGTGGGGTACAGACTGACAATCCCCAGAAGAGAGGGTGATGGGGGAGAAATAAACCACAGAACTTATATGCATGTTTGCATGAACAATGGACATGGACAACAAAGCTGGGGACAGGGCGGGAAGGAAAGTGGAGGGGGGCAGTCAGGGGGGAAAAAAGGAGAAACATCTGTAACAAAAATAGATTAATTAATTAGGAAAAAATAAATAAATTATTAAAGTAATAGCTATTTATTCTAAAACACTTAGAAAATGAGGCAAAGTATAAAGAAAATTTAAGTAACCCATTTTTCAACCACCCATAATTATTATTAACATATCTTAGTATATTTTACCCATCTTTTCCTGAGTATATACGTGTTTTAAAACATTGTTGTACTTCTCTATCCTGTTTTTCCCACTTAGTATTTTGAAATATATAGCATATTTCCAAAATGCTTAAATTCCTAAAGTGGAATAACTAGGCCAACAATATAATCATTTGGAAAACTCTTCCTTCAGACTGCAACCCTTTACACCAGAAAATTTACCAATATCCTCAGCAGCAATGCATGAGATGTCCATTCCCTAGTACCCTTACCAGAGCCTATTGTTCTTTTCCTTTTTAAAAAATTGACAGGTGAAAAATGAGCCCAGATACCTTTGGGTTCTGACTATATTACAAAAGGCATCAGGCCCATTTGTATAGGTAATAATTATGTGCATAATCAAATGTTTTTTTGAGAGAGAGAGAGAGAGAAGGGAGAGGGAGAGACAGAAACATTGATAAGAGAAAACATCGACTGGCTGCCACCTGCATGCTTCATACTAGAGATTGGGCACACAACCTGGGCATGTGCCCTGACTAGGAATCGAACCAGCAACCTCTTGGTATATGGGTTGATGCTCAATCAGTGAGTCAACCGGCAGGGCGCTTTATTTTCTTCATAGCACTTTCCATAGTCTGATAATTACAGTATATATTTGTTTACTGCCTGTCTGTCCATTAGCATAGAAGAGCAGAAATTTACATTGTCCATTATTGTAACCACCAGCACCTAAAACAGTACCTATTAGAAAGCCAGTAAACATTTGATCAAGTGAACTCTTAAAATGACTACTTAGAAGAGCAGCACTCCTTTTTAAAAAAATATACAGCTAGTTTTATAGTTCTACAGTCACATCTTTTATAACTTAGAAATTCTTAAATTTAGTTGGTGCGGCATATATAATTAAGAACTGTACATACAAATCTTCTAAGCAAAACTTGAGGCAATATAAAAAAGAACTGACAACTGCTAGGTTATGGATAGAAACTATCATGGTGATATACAGTAGTCCTTAATTCAAAGGGACTGGATGTCAATCACTCTAGTAAGATAAATCTTAAAGAAACCTAGCCACACTGACAAAGAATTCTGACATTCAAAAACAAACTATTTCAACTTCCAGTGAAGATGGCAGCATAGGTAAACGTGGTACTCACATCCTCTCACAGCCACATCAAAATTACTCCTAAGGATAAATGGTGATAGAAGGAGACATGGTTTGGGGTGGTGAACAGACAATCCTCTGAATTAGAGAATTGTACAATTTATACCTATATAATTTTATTAAACAATGTAACCCCAATAAATTCAATGAAAAAGAAATGAAAATAAAACTATATATATCTATATCTATACACATATATACAGATATAGATATATAGATATATATGCGCTAAATAACATCATGCAATCCTGATAACATTCTCTTTCCTGTCTGCATATTGGTCCTACATAGCTGTTGAATAATAATAAATAAACTAAAATTTAAGTAAGAGTTCAAAAAAATTATAACTAAACTACAGACCAACCATCATTAAAAACCACCTAAAATGTAGCTGAATGGAAGTCCTACAACTAGGGATTTCAAGAAGCCACATTGAGACTGGGAGAAGGGGCGGAGACACAGAATGGGCTGGTCCCACAGCCACATGTGGCAGTTTAAAATTGAGAAGGTTATCTCACTTGCCGAGGTCCCCCATGAGGAACGAGGCCTCCCAGCCCAGGCTTCCAGTGCTGGGAAGAGAAGTCCCCATACTTCTGGCTGTAAAAAACAGCAGAGATTGTGTTTAAGACAGAGGGCTGTTAGAGTCCTAGGCAGGTCCTCTTAAAGGGCCTGCATATGGACTTACTTGCTCATTCCTCTGAGCTCCAGCACTGGGGCAGCAGCTTAAAAGGAGCCAGGGACATACAAGGAGGAACTTAATTATCTGGCATCAGGGTGAAAGCTGGGGGTGTGTGTGTAGGTGGGTAGGTGGGGGACAGCTTTCAGGCAGAGGCCTCTGCTCCTTTTCTGAGACCCACCCTCATACACAGAATTAGCAGGTGGGTGCTGTATAAGAGTTTCCACCAACCTGGCTCACACTATACACCTTGCCCCACACAACTTTCGGGCTTACCCAAGTAGTTTCCAATGGCTTTTCCATACAACTGGCCTCTCTCGCCCCTTGCTTCAGACATTCCTAAAATCTCTCAAACAAGTAGCAGCTGGACACTGTGTACCCCATATCTCTTGCTAAGTGGTCCCAGGCCTGGCACTAGCAGCAGCAGGCCTTGGTTCACACCTTGATTTCTCCTGGGCACCCCCAAGCCCAACCCAAGTAGCCCAACTCTAGTTCATGCCGGGTGGCCCCAGGCAGGGAACATGTGGTGGCTGACCTTGTACCTTCTGGGAAGCCCTGGAGCCAGTGACCCTGTGGACAGCTTCAGACCATGCCATATTACAACCCTATCACCTCCACAAGCTATACACTCAAGGGGCGAACTCAGTGAGCACCAAAGCCCCAATGAAACAAGTACTGCCTCACAAGGTTGACTTCTGCACAGCAGCTCCTCTGCTGCAGTTGCAGCCAGTCCTCACAGCCAATTGGCCTGAAGGCCAATCCCTCTCAGTGATACCAACAAGTTAAAAAATATGAACAAAAAAATGGCAATAAATATATATCAACAACTGATTCTAAAAAACAAAATAAACAAGCAGAACAGAAGCAGACTCATAGATACAGAGAACATTTTGACTGTTGCCAGATTGGAGGGATATGAAAAAGGTGAAGAGATTAAGAAGTAAAAAATGGTAGTTACAGAACAGTCATAAGGATGTAACATACTGCATAGTAGTCAATAATATTCTAATAATTATGTATGGTATCAGATGGGTACAAGATTTATCAGGATGATCACTTAGTAAGTTATATAATGTCTAATCACTGGGGTATACACCTAAAACTAATATAAAACATATTGTATGTCAACTGTAATTGAAAAATAAAAAATGATTTAAAAAAAAAAAAAAAAACAATAAAAAAAACCCAAACTATTTCAGGCGTCTAAAATGCAAGAAATACTTCCATCAAAATTGTATAAAAATACTATTTTCTACCAAAATCATAATACATAACTTTATAATAAGAATATTATAACCTCAAAAGGCCCCTTCTATTCAATGCTTAAAGGGAAACAAATCAAAACAAAATCCACTGACAAAAAAAATCACTAGCATCAAACCCACCGGATCAACAGTAGGCAAAACATCTTTCTTTTCCAGGCCATCAACTTCATCTTCATCTGTGCTGTATTCTTCCATTGTTTCACCACTGACAAAGTGGATGACTCTCCTTGGGACTTTCTTCTTTTTTCCGATGATTCCCAGTTCTACATTTTCAAAGCCTCTTTCATTACTCATCTAATATTGATAATAAATTAAGAAAATGAATTTCAAGTGGATTAATTTTCATTCATATGATAAAAAAAATTCTAGGTTGCTTTATTTTAGGGAATAAAGAAACATAAGCCAATCCTTAAATAGTTTTTTTTTTTAAATCATACACACACAAAAGCATCAATAGCATCTAAAAAGAATTTAATGAATAAAGCAAACATCTGCATACTCACTCACAAGGTGAAAAAGATAGAATTTAACCAATTAAGTTTTATTTTAAGTCAACAGCTAAGAAATTAAGCACCACACTTCAAGTCATAGCAATTCCAATACTATATAATATGTGAAGACATGCTGAACAGCAATTGTTTTATTTTTTATCCTTCAAGGACATTTTTGCATCTATCTTCAGATAGAGCGGGAGGGAGAGAAGGAGGAAGAGAGGGAGAAACATCGATGTGAGAGACAAATTGAGCGGTCACCACCCACACGACCCCAACCGGGACTGGGGACAAACTGCCACCAAAGTACAGCATGTGCCCTTAGCGGGAACCGAACCCCAAACTTTCTAGACCACAGGCCAACGCTCTGACGCTCTAACCGCTAAGCCAAACCGGTCAGGGCTGAACATCAATTGTTTTAAAGAATAACACTAACTATGGCTGGATTAATGTGTAATATCAAAAGAAAATTGTATGACACATATATACATATGTTAGACATATAAAATAAAAGTTTATATTAGGAAACTCGACGTCTTCGGATTTGAGCTTAGCTATGTATTAGCAAAACAAAAGGAGCCCTAAATTCAAATGCCTTTTAGGGGAGACCAGGTGCCAAAAATAAGTAAAGCTATAGATGAAAGGATAGACTCTTTGGAGAAAGCTTACCTCAATACATTGAAAATCATTTTAAAGCACTGTGCAGGCCAAATAAAGCTTATTTGTAAACCAGATCTGGAAAGCAGGCCATCAGTGTTTTATCTTTGAACTTCCAGGTTTCTTAGTCAGTAATATAGAGGTGACTACCCAGCTGGTGTGGCTCAGTGGTTGAGCATCGACCTATGCACCAAGAAGTAGTTCCTGGTTCGGCTCCCAGTTAGGGCACATGCCCGGGTTGTGAGCTCAATCCCCAGTATGGGGTGTGTAGGAGGAAGCTGATCGATGTTGATGCTTCCTCTTCTCATTGATGTTTCTCTTTCTCTCCCTTTCCCTTCCTCTCTCTAAAAAATTAAGAAAAAACATTAAATGATGATAATAATAATAATAATATATAGGTGACAACAGTTTTCCTTATAGCAAAAAAGATTTTATGAATTTTACTTTATTATTATTTTTTTTATCCTCACCTGAGGAGATATATATATATATATATATATATATATATATATATATATTTTGCATTTATCTTCAGATAGAAAGAGAGGAAGAGAGAGAGAAACATCGACGTGAAAGGGACACATCGAGTGGTTGCCACCCACACAACCCCAACTGGGCTGGGGACAAACTGCACCCAAAGTACATGCCCCCAGTGGGAACCAAACCCAGGACTCCCTGTTCTGCAGGTCGACACTAACTGCTGAGCCAAACCAGCCAGGATAATTTTATAAATTTTAGAACTGTAGTATGTAGTCTATGGAATTCTAATTATATCCAAATTCCACTCCCAGGGTAAATACTAATTTTACCTCATACATACAGTCATGTGCCAAACTCAAAGTGCATACTGTGGGAGAAGATAAAGAAAACTTTTTCCCTGTCATCTTGCCTCGTTTAAGCTCCTAAATGAGCCGTCATTGACCTTCTTACCTGAAGATTTTGAGAAGGCACAGTACAGATAATTGTGGGGGAAAAAAAGTCTGGCAACAGTGAAAATGGGGGAGGAGGTAAGGGAGTGGTCAATGGGACTTTTTGTTCATTTTTTTGTTTTGTTTTTGTGATGAGAATATGTTCATGTATTACTGGTACAATTTAAAAATTAAGTAATAGCAAAATAATAAAGGACTACAGGACTGTCAAGATTATAATACGTAGGATTCTCTAGGACAGTCCAGAGTTTAAAAATTTTGTCCCCTATAAAGATTCTTAAACTTGTAAATATGACAAAATGTAACTTAAATCCATGATTATTGTTCAACTACTAGTTAAATTCTTTGAACTACATTTGCAGAGATGACATTGTACTGATAGAAAATAGTGAACTAGAATTTACCAGTTATATAAGTAATTTTATTTTTATGTATCATTTCTCTTAATCCTCTAAGGTCCTTCTTAGACAATAGATGTGGTTCTTCTCTGTCCTTCACTTCTAAAGGTAAGTTTAGTTATTAGCTAGGATTTGAATCCAGATATAGGTATATCCAATCCAAAGAACACAGGCAATCATTGTTTCATTACAAACGTAGTCATCAATTAACAGCAACTATAACGGCTATATAGCAAACTGAGATCATGAAAACCTTGATAGAACGGGCTATCTCTGAATTAACCTGTAAAAAACAAAAATAATTTTCCCTAGCTTGTCCTAAGGGTTCAGATAAATCCTAGCCCTTAATAAAGGAAGACCAGCCCATTTATTGTGTCCATTAACAAAATGGACAACATATGACCCATCCAGGTCCCCTTCTATCACTGATCCCTAGCCACAGTAATCCAGCTGTTCCTACCCAATCTCGTTTTACCCCTTGGTGTAAGATTTAGTTTATGGTTTCTTGACATCAAAGTGTCCTTTTGGACCATGATATTTGGATTCCCTTATCAACAAGGAAAAGTCAGAAGAGCTGGCTTAGATCTCCAGTCACCACACTAATTGGATGGATCCGATGCCAAAGCAATAGTCCCAGTCAGTGAACAGAGCTGAGACCTTTCATAGTATATCACCATGCTGCATTCTACCCCAACACACTCCCCTCAGAGCAGAAGCAGCTTCTCACTGCTCCCTAAGCAATCTCTCATGGCTCAACTACTGTATCTTCCTTAGACAACTTCAATAAATCAAAACACTCTATAGCTGGGCCATAACAACTAGTATAAACTTGCCTATTATCTCTATTAACTGTGACTCCTGGTAATATCTTTCCAAAATGTTTTTTTAAAAATCTACAAAAGGGAAGGCTGAAACACAATTCAAATTTTTCATTACAATATCAGTTCATTATAAACAGAACTTTGAGTACTATTTTCTCTATATAATATGTAATTAAAAATGGCATTTTAGTCTGGCTGGTGTGGCTCAGTAGAACCATGCACCAAGAGGTTGCCAGTTCCATTCCTAGTCAGGGCACCCAGGTTGTGGGCCTGATCCCTAGTGTGGGGCATGCAAGAGGCGGCCAATCAATGTTCTCTCTCATGGCTGTTTCTCTTTCCCTTTCCCTTCCACACTTTCTCTAACATCAATAAAGAAAAAGAAAAAGGCATTTTATTTGAACTAATCATTACATTTCATATAAAGATTTTTATTGAAGAGACCTTTAAGGGCTTTTTAAGAATTTATTATTAATTTTTCATATAATAAAACCCAAATTTTATCATCTTAAGCAGGAGTGAGCAAATTTTTCCTGTAAAGGCCAGAAAGTAAATATTTTAGGCTTTGCAGCTACAGTCTCTGTCACAACTACTGAACTCTGTGAAAGCAGCCATAGACAATCCATAACAAATGGGCATGACTTTGTTCCAATGAAACTATATATAAACTGGTGGTTGGTAGAATCTGGCCCATAGCTTATAACTTGTTTCTCTCTTCTGAAGAAACCAGACTGGCAAATTTAAAAATCTGTGAAAGAATCTATGACATGTAATTCCAACCTATTCTTGGGGTGGGGGTCTGGGGGTGGGGGAGTCACTTAAGGGAGGTATTGATGGGTAAAACCAACTGTAAAGCAGTTTGGTACAAAATTTCCAATGATTATAAATGAAGGTTATTTCAATTTTGCAAACGTTTTGTTTTTACAGAAAAGCAGCAAACTACAAATAAAAAATATACAGTCAATTATACAAATTCTATTTGAACAAACTGCATATATCTGAAAATATATTTTCTAACACCAGGAAATGATGAGATGCAATATCAATTAACATTTTATTACATTTTATGGTTTGCCAGTCTGTAATTCTGCTTATCTTGTTCCTCAGTGCCTGTTTTTAATGGCAATATGTGTTTTATATACTCCCACAATACCTAGAGCTTCTTTAAAGCATACTACATGACATGGAGGGACCTGGAGAGTATTATACTAAGTGAAATAAGCCAGTCAGAGAAAGATAAATACCACATGATCTCACTTATTTGTGGAACATAATGAACAAAATAAGCTGTCGACCAAGAGATCCAGAATCGTGGAAGTAGAGAACAGACTGATAAACCTCAGAGGGATGCGGGGTTGGAGGGAAGGAAAGAGATAAACCAAAGAACTTATATGCATATATGTACAACCAATCAACACAGACACTAGGTTGGGGAAGGCAGGAGGGAGGTGAAAGCGGGAAGGAGGGGGGTCAATGGGGAAAAAAGGGGGACATCTGTAATACTTTCAATAACAAAAAAAATAAAACATACTACACTTTTTATATACTCCCATAGCACCCACAACTTCTTTAAAAAATGTACTTTCCCAATTAGGTAGTTAGCAACATAGGAGTAGGCACAGTGTGTATCCTTCATTGTTGTCTTTTAGCCTATTGCTCCTGGCACATGGTAAGTGCTGGGTAGCACAGCTGCTACATGATGCTAAATGAATGAGAAGTTGTGAAATTGTAACTCCTTTAATTCTGGTTAAATTCTGGTCACAGAAGCTGTTGGATGGCTGGTTTGAGGTCTAATGCTAAAAAGACACAAGCTCCTATCTCTTACTCCCTTCCCTACATGGCACTTGGGATTTCTCAGTTTTGACAAACTGATGGAGTACAGGATGGCAGCCTCTCCTTCCATCTAAATCTCTACCTCGCTGACCTCTTCCTTCTGACCATGGTCAAACACCTAGACATAGATGTAGTTCCCAGAGATGTTTCTGCTTCAGGAATGTGTGAATGAGAGAGCAAGAAGGGAAAGTTTGAAAAATCATTTGTATAACATTTGCCCATGTGTGTTAAACAAGAAAGATTATTATATATATATATATACACAGGAAATCTCAGAAAGAATACACCAGAAACTTAGTTACTATAGAGGAATGAGATTGCCAGGAACGAGTGATGGGAGGATAATACAATTAGAGTAACAGAAGGAAAGTTCAATTGGAAAACACATCAAGCAAGCACTGTGCACTTAAAAGTTCAGCTTAAGTGTACCTGTCAACAATAGGTCTCAAATAAAGTGAAAGTGCCTTCCTAATCAATTAGTATTGCCCCTGAATTCCTTCTTGCAGATTACTTTCCTCTTCTTAAGTAAAATAAAAACAAGAAATTACATATAAAGACTAGTATGTGGGCCCTGGCTGGTTTGGCTCAGCGGTTAGAGCGTGGGCCACAGACCAGAGAGGCCCGGGTTTGGTTTCTGCTAAGGGCACGTACCTTGGTTGCAGTTTGTCCCCGGACTGGGTTGGGGTCCTGTGGGTGGCAACCACTCAATGTGTCTCTCTCACATCGATGTTTCTCTCTCTTTCTTCCTCCTGTTCTATCTTAAGATAAATGCAAAAATGTCCTTGGGTGAGGACAAACAAACAAAAAGACTAGTATGTGGGAAAGTTTTTGTTAATGCAAACTACATCTTAAAAGAGCTATATTAACATTCAGGCACTATTCTCTAGGAATCTGTAGTTTGGGGAAAATGTTTCATACATTTAAGTAGTTAAGTCTCGAAAATGAAGCTACTGAAAAAGCTTCGTTCTCAATGAGGTTTTTAATGGCCAAAAGTGCAGTTAAAGAATGTCTTCATGCCCTGGCTGGTATGGCTCAGGGGTTAGAGCATTGGCCCTGGGACCAAAGAGTTTCGGGTTTGATTTTGGTCAAGAGCACGTACCTCTGCAGTTTGATCCCTAGCCCTGGTCGGGTTGTTCGGGAGGCCACCAATCGATGTATCTCTCTCACATCTATGTTTATGTTCCTCTCTCTCTCCTCCTCACTCCCATTCTATCTGAAGATAAATGGAAAAATATCCTCGGTTGAAGATTAAAAAAAAAAAAAAAGAATGTCTTTATTAATTTTACTTGGCCAAAGATCCTAAATTACAAATTCAAAACAAAACAAACCTCCAAACCTTGCCCAACTCTTTAAATTTATGCTATCCAAACCAGTGACCACTTGCTACATGTGGTTAATGCTCATGAGAAATGTGGAAATGTGGCTAGGTCAAACTCAAATGTGCAGTAGGTTTAAAATGCATACAGAATTTTTCCCTGACTGGTTTAGCTCAGCGGTTTGAGTGCCAGTCTGAGGACTAAAGGGTCTCGGGTTTGACTCCAGACAAGAGCACGTAACTAGGCAGGTTCCACCCCAGCCCTGGCCCAGGTCCTGTGGGAACCAACCAATTGATGTGTCTCTCTCACATCCATGCCCCCCCCTCCCCTCTATCTAAAAATCAATAGAAAAATATCCTTTAGTGAGGATTAACAAAAAGCAAGCAAGCAAGCAAGCATGCACACAGGATTTCAAAGACTGGTACCAAAAAGAGAATGTAAGATATCTCATTGATAACTTTCGCATTAATTACATGTTGAAATTTCTTTTTGAAAACTGGGTTAAATACAATATAATATTAAAATTAATTTCACTTTATATTAATTACCTGTTAAAATCTTTTAATAAATTGGGTTCAATAGAATATAATATTAAAATTAATTTCACCGATTTCTTTTTACTGTTTTAATGTGGCTAGTAGAAAGGGTAGACTACAATGCGGCTCGCAGTGTCTTTCATTGGACAGCGCAGCTCTGGGCCTCAGTTACCTCGCGGGTGAAGGGGTAACCCCACGTCACGCGGAAGTTACAAGTTTAAAGGAAAGAGCCTGTACACACTTAGCTCTTACTTGCTCTTAGCTCAGCAAAGGGCACATGCCCAGTCAGGCGCTTGCAAACGGAGAGACTGAGACGTGATGGAAGCCGCGTCACCTGGCCGCCACCCACTAAGGCCACCTTTCGGGGACACGCCGGCGTTCTCTGGTTCACAGCCTGGACGCCGGAGTGTCACCCCTGGAAACGCGAGGCCGCCCCAGAGTCTGAGGCGCTGCCAGCGGAGGGGCTGGCGGGGGTTCCCTGCTTCCAAGCCCGAGTTTCTGAGCCGAGGCGGAGATCCTGAGGAGGAATCCCGAAACGCACCGCCTGCGGCCGGCCTGCTCCGAGGAAGGCCGACCAGCCAGGGCAGCGGGCGGACCAGGCAGAGAGGAGGCTGGGCTCTCCCGGCCTCGGCGTCGGCGCCGGCGCCTCCCTAGGCGGCCTCACCTACCTGCCGCGCCGGGTCCCTGAACGCCGCGGCGGCCGCAGCTCCCGACGCTGCGCCTGCTTCTCCTTCCCCACAGCTCCCGGGCTCCCGGTCCATCGTCGTCGCCGCCACAGGGCTGCTGGCGCTGGCTAGATAGAATGTAATGGCCGATAAGCCCACTTCCATCCTCCACCTCCCCGCCCACAGAGTGCGCGGCTGGGAAGTGGGGCTCACCCACAGCGCCCGCCTCGCGCCCCGCGGGCCAAACCGCAGCAGGAGGGGAGGGCGGCCCTGCCCTGCCCTGCCCGAGGGGCGGAGCTCGGCACGCCAGGCTCCGCCAACGGCGGCCTGGGAGGTGCCACTACCAGCTCAAGAGCGGCGGGGCGGGGCGGGGCGAGGCGGGGCGGGGCGGGGCGAGGCCTTCTGCAGTACCACTTCCGGCCAGGCCCACTCCGGAGCTCGCGGGCCCGCCCCCTGGCATCAGTGACTTCACCAATGACGTCATTCCGCCTTATCTGTACCTGGAGCCTGGGTTTGGATCTCTGCGCAGCCACTCACCAGCTGCATCCTGGGAATTCACTCTCCCAGATCTTGGTTTCTGTACGGGTGAAATGAGAAAAGCTGCATAGGGATTTTCAAAAGCTTGAGCTGAAATGTGGTTGCCGAAAATATATTTTAAAATGTGTGGCTCATTGTAACAAAAATAAATTAATAAAAAATTTAAAAACAAAACAAAAAAAATAATAATAAAATGTGTGGCTCATGCCTCGTAATCCATCCGTAATCTGGATGACAGTCTAGCCAAAATAGCCTGGAAATAAGAGCCTCGAAAGTGAATTTTGCTTACACTTGTCCGAAAGACAAATTAAATAGAACTGTAGAAGAGTTAAAGGAGCTTGAAGAATAGCAAAAGGCAACAACAAGCTTCCACTTTGACAAATGTGAGGGCTAATTATCTCTTTTAGGGGTGTGTGTGTGTGTGTGTGTGTGTACCCTTCCCAGATTTTCCCATTTTACCCAGTGTTCAAACAAAGAGTCATGACTGCATTACTTAAACTAGTTGGGGGCGTTTCCAGGTAAATGATTTTTTATTGTAATTTTAGTATGAAAGTTTCATGCAAGTTTTCACAAATTGTAGAGGTCATAAATAAAATACATGATTTTGTCCAAGGCGGGTGGGGTGGGGAGTTCATTTGGTATTTTAAATTCCATTTTCATGCCAGTCAAAATTCAGCAATGGTCCCCAAAGATATGTCCTACAATATCTGCCCTTCATCATGGCACAAGCAGTCAGCAGGCAGAACACCCCTACAACCTTAAATATTTCTTTCTCTCCCGTGCAAAGTTATTTTTCCTTACTCTCTGCTTAGGATTGCTGTACACTTTGCATCCTGCTATAACCATTATAATTAAAAAAGCAAACAACCTTAAAAATAAAAGTCGGTAATCTGAAAACCATCTACATTTTAAACACTGGTTGGAAATTCATAATCTGTATTCCAGTAATAAAATCAAATTAGCTTGTTGCTGAGGTAAACAAGTTTTAGTAACATGATCTGGTGCTGTCTAGTGGCAGGGGCCAGGAGTTGAATCAATCTAAAATGGCAAAAACAAGCTCTGCAATAAATTGAAAAGAAAAATAAAGAGCCAATTGTTAAAGACTTCATGAATTGACTTACATAAACAAGATAGTTCTACACTGCATCTATTCAACATCTCGTTCCTCTTACTGGCAAGAAGGATAATAAACAATCATTATTTAAAATTTGTGGAATGCATATAAATGCATTATTTCATTTTACAAATTGGCAATTGAACATCAAATTACAATTTTCACTGTTAAAGCACAACTCATTTTCATGGCTTATAAGTACATTTCCTAGTTTAATGAAAATTTAAAATGCAAGTCATATTCCAGTAAGAAGAATATTTTTTTAACACAAATACGCAGTTGAAGAGCAGTCTATTACAAACAACTCATAGCAACAGAAAAGCATAGAAATTCTAATTGTTTTAGTTTGGGCATTTACATTTTTGTCATTATTTCCAGACTATCTTAGGTCAACTAAAAGTGGGCAACAAAGTAACATGCCAAATTTCTCATTCTTTCACTTCATAGTATAAATTCTATCACTATGACAAAAAATAAATTCAGGTATTACTATAATTTATCTACTTGAAAACATAATTGTGGTCTAAATTTATCATTTAATGATACATACAGAGGCAAAAAGGTAAACTTGGATCTATTTCTGTGGAAGGCTGGACAAACAAAGTTGAATAGAATTCAATAATCTGGACCGTCCATCAATTATTTATATATATATATATATATATATATATATATATATATATATATATATGTTAAGGTAATCCCATCCCTCAAATAGGGAGATATATTTTCATCATCAATGATGCACAAGAATAAGATGGTAAAAATTCACGTTAAGTTGATTTTAAGCATAAAGACAATGTTAACAGTAGTAGCTTCACTTACGGAGCCCAGTATGCTAGGTGCTATGATAAGGGCTTTCCTTGTATTAACTCTTTAATTTTTTGGTAGAGTTTGAGAAGGATAGGTTTTAAATCTTCTTTGAATGTTTGACAGAATTCTCTCCTGAAGCCATTTGATTCTAGATTTTTATTTCTGGGAGTTTTTTGATGGTTGTTCCAATTTCCTCACTGCTGATTGGTCTATTTAGATTTTCCAGTTCTTCCTGATTCAGTCTAGGAAGGCTATATATTTCTAGGAACTTATCCATTTCTTCCAGATTATTGAGTTGGGTGGCATATAGTCTTTCATAGTACTCTAGTATGATCCTTTGTATATCTGTAATGCCTGTGGTAACTTCTATAGGGCAGAATTTTTAAAATGACTGTTTCTAATCCAGTTAATGCCACCAGTGAACAGAATCATCTAGATCTGAACTGTGATTATGGCTTTCTAGTTTTGGATATAACTTACTTGGCTTTATTAATAATTATTGCTAGGTTTTAAGAAAGACCAAAACTTATTTACATTTAGTTAGTTAACTATGGTTCTTACTAACATAGTTTTTATTAAAGATTATTCTAATTCTTTGGTTGCTCTTTGCATTAAAATAGTAAAAGACTTGCTATATACACAAAAATCAAATTGAAATTCCTTCATATTTATTTTAAATATTTTGTTCCATTTTTACTGAATTATTTGTTTATATGTACTAGAGCTACTTGCAAAAAGACATTCATTAAATTTTATATTATGGTTTACCTTTTAGACCACATACATTCACTGACATAAGGTATTAATATTATATTAATTTTACCTACTTTAATATGCATAAGCCTTTAGTTCTAATAAATTTCCTGGTATTGTTGCCTTCTGTGTAGCAGTATTTGTTTTTTGTTTTTTGTTTTTTTTTTTATGAATTTTTATTTATTTTTTTGTTACAGACATTTTACCTTTTTACCCCATTGGCACCCCCCACCCCACCCTCCCTCCACCCTGTCCCCGGCTTAGTTGTCCATGTCCATTGGTCATGCATACATGCATATAAGTTCTGTGGTTTATCTCTTCCCACCCCCCCACCCCCCATCCCCTCTTCTGAGGGATGTTAGTCTGTGCCCTACTTCCATGTGTCTGGGTCTACTGTATTCCTCAGACTGTTATGTTCATTATATTCCGTATATAAGTGAAATCATGTGGTATTTGTCTTTTTCTGCTTGGCTTCTTTCACTTAGGATAATACTTTCCAGGTCCCTCCATGTCGTCTCAAAGGGTAAGAGATCTTTCTTTCTTACCGCTGCATAGTACTCCATTGTGTATATGTACCACAGCTTTGTTATCCATTCGTCTACTGGTGGACACTTGGGCTGCTTCCAGATCTTAGCTATTGTAAATAGTGCTGCTATGAACATGGGGGTACATATATTCTTCCTGATTGGTGTTTCAGGCTTCTTAGGGTATATTCCCAGCAGTGGGATCACTGGGTCAAATGGAAGTTCAATTTTTAATTTTTTGAGGTAGCACCATATTGTTTTCCATAGCGGCTGCACCAGTCTGCATTCCCACCAGCAGTGTATTAGAGTCCCCTTTTCTCCACACCCTCGCCAACACTTGTTGTTTGATGATTTGTTGATGGCGGCCATTCTGACAGGTGTGAGGTGATACCTCATTGTTGTTTTAATTTGCATCTCTCTGATGATTAGTGATGTTGAGCATTTCTTCATATGTCTCTTGGCCATTTGTATGTCCTGTTTGGAGAGGTGTCTATTCAGCTCCTCTGCCCATTTTTTAATTGGGTTCTTTGTCTTCCTTTTGTGGAGTTGTATGAGCACTCTATATATATTGGAAATTAACCCCTTATCTGATACATCATTGGCAATGATGTTTTCCCATACAGTGGGTTGCCTTTCCATTTTGATGATTGTATCTTTTGCTGTGCAGAAGCTTTTTAGTTTGATGTAGTCCCATGTGTTCATTTTCTCCTTTATTTAGTATTTGTTAATTACATTTCTTTTTAGCTATGTGACACCATGCTTGTATACAAGGTTAATACAATATTACTGCATATCAGAACGTAGGACTTCTCACATTATAATATACTATATTTATTTGATTTATTTTTTAAATCCTCACTGGAGGATTTCCATTTATCTTCAGATAGAGTGGGAGAGAGAGAGCGGGAGAGAGAGAAACAACAACATGAGAGAGACACATCGACTGGCTGCCTTCTGCATGACCCTGACCAGGGCTGGGGACCAAGCCGAAACCAAGGTAGGTGCCATTGACTGGAATCGAACTCTGGACTCTTTGGTCCATGGCTCAATGCCCTAACCACTGAGTCAAACCAGCCAGGGCAACTGTATTTATTTGAATAAAATAATGGTTTATATAACACACTCTAAAATCAATTTTTCTATATGATGAAAGGTGCTTAGTTTTTTCCAAAAAATCCTCCATAAAATGATAATGCATTGTGTATGTATATGTATGTGTATGTGTATCTATATCTATATACTTTATATCTTATATGTCAGCAAATATACTTCCAGAACATTGACATCACATTACGTTGTTAATTTGCCCTTTCTTATTATTATTTGTTGATAATTCATTTTTAAGTGTGTTTTTGTTTTATAATTACATATGCATTGTAAGCTTAAGAAATTATAAACCTAGACTTCCGGTCAAGATGGCGGGTAGGTAAACGCGGTATCGCGTCCTCCCACAACCACATTCAAGTTACAACTAAACTACAGGACAACCATCATTCAAA